TACCTTTTTAAAACACGACTAAGGGCTTTTCGCACCTACTGCTAGGTTGAGGGACTGATTACCTCATCTTCTGTACATAGTTCTACTGTCTTCAAGTTATGTCCTGGAATTTGTGTTGATAAAGCCACTGGATGGCGAAACGTCTACAATAAAGATACCCAGATGTTGCACATGTGTCTCAATTTCATCTTGTCGGTATTATATACCATTCTTGTACACATAAATTGATTAATAAATGTCAGGACGGTTTTACAGATTTACTAAAAAAAATTTCACTATGGCAGATCCAAGTAATGAATATGATACTGTATATATGAACTTCAGTAATGCGTTTGATAATTACACATCAGAGATTGCTAAGGAAAGTAGAGAGAATAGGAGAAAGAAGATTTTTTTCCTAGGATATAGATGTGGAAAGATAGAGAGTTCGCAAAAATGGGGAGTAATCAGAGTTGGGACGTGTGACGAGCGGTGTTCCACAGGGGTCAGTGTTGGGCCCTTTATTGTTCACAGTATACAATAGCTACATAGATGAGGATTATAATCGTAGCCATAATTTTTAAAGGGGTGGACTGGTGAGCCAGCGGAAGGTATAAGTCAGATGACCGAAAGCTTAAGCGATGGGTTGTCATATGACTTAAGATCCGTGTCAGGAAACACTTGTCCTGGTTTCCGACAAGTCTTTCCTAACCGAACCTCCCTTATCCACAGGACAGATAGAAATAATTAGTAATCTATCTTTTTCTAAACTTTTTTAAAGCAATATCTGATCTGAATCATCCACCTTGTTCCCTCGGCTCTTCCCTTCAACACTTACACAAACTACATTCGCCCTTATAGTCAACGGTCAGGTTTAGGTGAGGGTTCTTGCAAGCCTCAACTTCCAGGTAGCAGGAATTGCTGTAGGTCTTTCCGTCAGTGCCACACACAGGATCGTGCAGCGCGTAACAAATTTCTGGACACTGAATCTTCTCTGTGAAGTAAAAAGTTACTTTCTATAGCAATTGATTAGAATTGTCTATTCACTGATAATTGAGATTTAATGAATACTTATTGCAATATATATATGTGATGATTGGTTTGAAAAACCGACAAGTTGAAGATTGAGACACTTATGCAGCATGTGGGAATCTTTATTCAGGAAACGTTTCGCCACACAGTGGCTTCTTCAGTCCAATACAAAGAGGAAGGCGTAAGGAGAGGAGGAGAATGAGGTAATCAGTCCCTCAACCTGGAGTCGATGTGTTCAGTCCACATCGACTCCAGGTTGAGGGACTGATTACCTCATTCTCCTCCTGTCCTTATGCCTTCCTCTTTGTATTGGACTGAAGAAGCCACTGTGTGGCGAAACGTTTCCTGAATAAAGATTCCCATTTGCTGCATAAGTGTCTCAATCTTCAATATATATATGGCAGCAGGCAAAGACAAATTGTCTTTTATAACGACTTAAAAACACTAAAAACAAAATGTCTAGTGAAATTATTTAACTCTCACTGATAGATATTGTTCTGACTAGTAATGGTGAAGGAACAAGAATTGCATTTTTTTTAAGATATTGATAAAATATTTGTACCAATGGAGGGGTAATCACTTACATGGAAAAAAAATGGATTTCGAAACACAAGATTGTCAAATAAAGGTATAGTGGAACCTCTGGTCACGAACGCCTCCGAACACGAACAAACCAGTTCACGACCAAAAAATTCGCCAGATTTTTGCATCTGGTCACGAACATATAATCGGGTGCCGAAGAAACACAATTTTCACATTCCACACCTCTTTTTCTTTTTTTTTTTTGCATGCTCCAATTTTTCCCACTTCCTGTTGTTATTGTACACCTGACAAAGACCCGTCGCCTTAAGATAAGATAAGAGATAAGATTTCGTTGGGATTTTTAACCCCGGAGGGTTAGCCACCCAGGATAACCCAAGAAAGTCAGTGCGTCATCGAGGACTGTCTAACTTATTTCCATTGTGGTCCTTAATCTTGTCCCCCAGGATGCGACCCACACCAGTCGACTAACACTCAGGTACCTATTTGCTGCTAGGTGAACAGGACAACAGGTGTAAGGAAACGTGTCGAAATGTTTCCACCCGCCGGGAATCGAACCCGGGCCCTCCGTGTGTGAAGCGGGAGCTTTAGCCACCAGGCCACCGGGCCACCGGGCCACCGGGCCACCGGGCCACCGGGCCACCGGGCCACCGGGCCACCGGGCCTTGTGGACCGTCTCGGTCAAACATGTGTTCATTCTCTGTAAACTTCTTGCGCTGTATTTCATGTGTTTTTCATTTATTTTTGTTTTCTTGGTTGTTTACAATGTGTTTCATGTTATTTAACGTTCTTTTCTCCATTAAACTCTGCATTAATTTGTATAATTAAGGATTTTTTCTAACTTAGATTATTTTTTCTGTGCTAAAAACTCTTAAACTGTTTACAGCAAATGGTTCGTGGAGGTCTATAAAGGACTCGTGCAATGTTAGTTTTCTCTGTTCAAGGTTTTCTCAGTGTTATTCAAGGTTTTTACATTTAATTCACTGTAACAGTGTGCATTCTAAGGTATAATTAACTATTTGTATGCTTAAGAATCTTAAACAATATTTACATACAGTTCGTAGGGGCATGGAACGGATTAATCGTATTTACATACAATCCAGTGGGGAAATTAGGTTTGGGTCACGACCATTTCGGATCGCAACCAGAGTTTTGGAGCAAATTATGGTCGTGACCAGAGGTTCCACTGTATTTCGGTCGATGTGCGCTCCAAGAAAGGTATCCCCATATTCCCTAACCCCAGGTCCTTGTGTCTCAGTGCATGCGACTGGAATAGTGCAGAGTGCAGCATATGATGAGGCAGTTAAATATTGACGTTAATAATTTGAAGGGAATCAGACGAGACCTTCACAACTTGTCATTTGGAAACTATTATCCAATCTTCTATAAAGTTTATAGTTTGAACATACAAGGCCCAAATGTAATTTATGCTTCTCAAAGAAACAGCAAAGACCAGTATCCTAAAATACACAAGCACGTCAAGCTTTAAGTCACTCAGAATTTACATTATCAAACTAATCAGATGCAACATAGAAATTATTACATGAAATCCAAAATTTAAATTTTTCTAATATCCAACAAAACAGACTGGGACCTACACAGACAGAAATCAGTCCAAACATTTCTCTAGGTAAGAATAACTTAGTTAACTTAGTTTTCAGCAAGTTATTCTTAGAGCACCGGTGCTCTTCACATCAATTTCAAGGCTGAGGGACTAATTACCTCATATTTTGTATATAATGTAACTATTGTACAACTTAAACTATGATAAATTTCATTAGTATTAAGTCAGTAAGTCATTAAATTAAGTCTGCCCATAATGCCTAGGCATAATTATGTACTTTGTAAGTACATAATCTCAATGTACTATTTGCAAAGAAAATTTGGTTTAAATTTAGTTTGGTAGTTCTTGTCTTCCAGTTATGTCCTTTCGCCACTAGAGGGCGAAACGTCTACAATAAAGATACCCAAATTTTGCACATGTGTCTAATTTGTAGATGAATGGTTCAGAGAACCGACATGTTGATAAATTAGACACATGTGCAACTCTTGGGTATCTTTCCTCAATAAAGATACCCAAGAGTTGCACATGTGTCTAATTTATCAACATGTGTCTAATTTTCATCTTGTCAGTATTGTCTACCATTTACGTGCATCAATATTAAAATACAAACATTCACACAAATATCAAAACTTACTACATTCGCCGTTATAGTCAACGCTCAGTTTAAGGTGAGGGTTCTTGCAAGCCTCGACTTTCAGGTAGCAGGAATTGCTGTAGGTCTTCCCGTCAGTGCCACACACAGGGTCGTGCAGCGCGTAACAAATTTCTGGACACTGAATCTTCTCCTCTGTGAATTAGAAAGTTACTTTGTATACCAATTGATTAGATTGATTTGTATATTTATATTAGAATTTAGTGAATATTTACTGTAATGGATATATGGTAGCAGGTACAGATATACCTTGTATAAGAACTTAGGTGAATTAAATGTAATTATTCAATATGCGTTGGTAATTACCTTGTTTTAACCAGTGGTTGTAAGGAAATAAGAATTACATTTCGCTTTTGAATAGATAGGGATAAATTATTTGTACAAATGGAGGGGTAATCACTTAAAAATAATTAAATACGGATTTCAAAACATAAGATATTTCAGTCGTTGTGCAATCCAGGAAAGGAATCCCAAAGTCCCCCGTGCAACAGTGCATGCGACAGGAATAGTGCATAGTGCGGCATATGATAATTCAATTAAATATTAATCTTGATGATATGGTGGCGAGAATATTTTGAGGAACTTTTAGATGTCAAAGAAGAAAGGGAGGTGGTAATTTCATGCACTGGCCAGGGAGGTATACCATCTTTTAGGAGTGAAGAAGAACAGGATGTGAGTGTGTGGGAGGTGCGTGAGGCATTAGGTAGAACGAAAGGAGGTAAAGCAGCTGGAACTGATGGGATCATGACAGAAATGTTAAAAGCAGGGAAGGATATAGTGTTGGAGTGGTTGGTACTTTTGTTTAATAAATGTATGAAAGAGGGGAAGGTACCTAGGGATTGGTGGAGAGCATGTATAGTCTCTTTATATAAAGGGAAAGGGGACAAAAGAGATTGAAAAAGTTATAGAGAAATAAGTTTACTGAGTATACCAGGAAAAGTGTACGGTAGGGTTATAATTGAAAGAATTAGAGGTAAGACAGAATGTAGGATTGCGGATGAGCAAGGAGGTTTCAGAGTGGGTAGGGGATGTGTAGATCAAGTTTTTTACATTGAAGCTATATGTGAACAGTATTTAGATAAAGGTAGGGAATTTTTTATTGCATTTATGGGTTTAGAAAAGGCATTTGATGAGTGGATAGAGGACAATGTGGCAGATGTTGCAAGTTTATGGAATAGGTGGTAAGTTACTAAATGCTGTAAAGAGCTTTTATGAGGATAGTGAGGCTCAGGTTAGGGTGTGTAGAAGAGAGGGAGAATACTTCCCGGTAAAAGTAGGTCTTAGACAGGGATGTGTAATGTCACCATGGTTGTTTAATATATTTATAGATGGGGTCGTCAAAGAAGTAAATGCTAGGGTGTTCGGAGAGAGGTGCGATTAAATTATTGGGAATCAAATACAAAATGGTATTGACACAGTTGCTTTTTGCTGATGATGCTGTGCTTATGGGAGATTCTAAAGAAAAACTGCAAAGGTTAATGGATGAGTTTGAGAATGTGTGTAAAGGTAGAAAGTTGAAAGTGAACATAGAAAAGAGTAAGGTGATGAGGGTATCAAATTATTTAGATAAAGAAAAATTGGATATCAAATTGGGGAGGAGGAGTATGGAAGAAGTGAATGTTTTCAGATGACGTGTCGGCGGAGGGATTTATGAAAGATGAGGTTAATCATAGGACTGATGAAGGAAAAAAGGTGATTGGTGCATTGAGGTATATGTGGAGGCAAAAAACGTTATGGAGGCAAAGAAGGGAATGTATGAAAGTATAGTAGTACCAACACTCTTATATGGATGTGAAGCTTGGGTGGTAAATGCAGCAGCGAGGAGACGGTTGGAGGCAGTGGAGATGTCCTGTCTAAGGGCAATGTGTGGTGTAAATATTATGCAGAAAATTCGGAGTGTGGAAATTAAGAGAAGGTGTGGAGTTAATAAAAAGTATTAGTCAGAGGGCTGAAGAGGGTTTGTTTAGATGGTTTGGTCATTTAGAGAGAATGGATCAAAGTAGAATGACATGGAGAGCGTATAAATCTGTAGGGAAAGGCAGGTGAGATAGGGGTAGTCCTCAAAAAGGTTGGAAGGAAGGGGTAAGGGAGGTTTTGTGGGAGAGGGGCTTGGACTTCCAGCAGGCGTGCATGAGCGTGTTCGATAGGAGTGAATGGAGACAAACGGTATTTGAGACCTGACGAGCTGTTGGAGTGTGAGCAGGGTAATATTTAGTGAAGGGATTCAGGGGATTTTCTTTCTTTTTGGGTCACCCTGCCTCGGTGGGAGACGGCCGACTTGTTGAAAAAAAAAAATGAAGGGAATCGTGAAAGATCTCCACAAGTTATCATAGGGAAACTAATATCCAAATTTCTTTAATACTTTTTTAAGTTAGAAGATAAAGGTCGATAGAAACAAGACCAATATCCTAAAACACACAAGCACATTAAGCTTCAAGTTGCTCAGAAGTTGCATTACCAAGCACTTAGAAATGATTGCATAAACAAGATTTAAATTATTTTCAATTTGCAACAAATAGACTGGGACCTACACAAGCCACACTTTTACTTAAGCAAGACTTGATTGTTTTATAGTAAGTAAAAAAATGTAATCAAGAACGTTTTATTCTAGTTTAGTGTACTTAAAACACAATTTTTTGAATATGTGACATAATCAATCTTAGGAAAAACGTCGCCAAAAATATTTTGAAACCGATTAGAGGAAAAATTCTGTTATTATAGAAAAAAAATCAGTGTTACCATTTAGTCAATAAAATTGGTAATAATGTTAATTATTACTATTTATAATAAAAATTAATAATAATCTTTATTTACTATCAGTACATGTACAAGGTATACAAGTACATGTACAAGGTATACCAGTACATGTACAAGGTATACAAGTACATGTACAAGGTATACAAGTACATGTACAAGGTATACAAGTACATGTACAAGGTATACCAGTACATGTACAAGGTATACAAGTACAAGTACAAGGTATACCAGTACATGTACAAGGTATAAAAATACATGTACAAGGTATACCAGTCATGTACAAGGTATACAAGTACATGTACAAGGTATACAAGTACAAAGTACAAGGTATACAAGTACATGTACAAGGTGTACCAGTACATGTACAAGGTATACAAGTACATGTACAAGGTATACAAGTACATGTACAAGGTTTTCAAGTACATGTACAAGGTATACCCATACTGTACAAGGTATACAAGTACATGTACAAGGTATACCAGTACATGACAAAAGGGATACAAGTACATGTACAAGGTTTTACCAGTACATGTACAAGGTATACAAGTACATGTAAAGGTATACAAGTACATGTACAAGGGATACAAGTACATGTACAAGGTGTACAAGTACATGTACAAGGTATACAAGTACATGTACAAGTGTACAAGTACATGTACAAGGTGTACAAGTACATGTACAAGGTGTACAAGTACATGTACAAGGGGTACAAGTAATGGCAAGGTATACAGTACATGTACAAGGTATACAAGTACATGTACAAAAGGGATACAAGTATATGTACAAGGTATACAAGTACATGTACAGGTGTACAAGTACATGTACAAGGTATACAAGTACATGTACAAGGTATTTCAAGTACATGTACAAGGTATACAAGTGCATGTACAAGGTATACAAGTACATGTACAAGGTATACAGTACATGTACAAGGTGACAAGTACATGTACAAGGTATACAAATACATGTACAAGGTATACAAGTACTGTACAAAGGGATACAAGTACATGGACAAGGGATACAAGTACATGTACAAGGTGTACAAGTACATGTAAAAAGGTATACAAGTACATGAACAAGGTATTACAAGTACATGTACAAGGTATACAAGTACATGTACAAGGTATAAAAGTACATGTACAAGGTATACCAATACATGTACAAGGTTTTACAAGTACATGTACAAGGTATACAAGTACATGTACAAGGTATACAAGTACATGTACAATGTATACAGTACATGTACAAGGTGTACAAGTACATGTACAAGGTATACAAGTACATGTACAAGGTATACAAGTACATGTACAAGGTATGCCAAATACATGTACAAGGTATACAAGTACATGTACAAGGTGTACAAGTACATGTAACAAGGTAACAAGTACATGAAACAAGGTATACAAGTACATTGTACAAGGGATACAAGTACATGTACAAGGTATAAAAGTACATGTACAAGGTATACCAATACATGTACAAGGTGTACAAGTACATGTACAAGGTATACAAGTACATGTACAAGGTATACAAGTACATGTACAAGGTATACAAGTACATGTACAAGGTATACAAGTAAATGTACAAGGAATACAAGTACATGTACAAGGTATACAAGTACATGTACAAGGTTTACCAGTACATGTACAAGGTATACCAGTACATGTACAAGATATACCAGTACATGTACAAGGTGTACAAGTACATGTACAAGGTATACACGTACATGAACAAGGTATACAAGTACATGTACAAGGTATACAAGCACATGTACAAGGTGTATAAGTACATGTACACGGTATACAAGTACATGAACAAGGTATACAAGTACATGTACAAAGCATACAAGTACATGTACAAGGTGTACAAGTACAAGTACAAGGTATACAAGTACATGAACAAGGTATACAAATACATGTACAAGGTATACAAGTACATGTAAAAGGTATACAAGTACATGAACAAGGTATACCAGAACATGTACAAGGAATACCAGTACATGTACAAGGTATACAAGTACATGTACAAGGTATACAAGTACATGTACAAGGTATACCAGTACATGTACAAGGTATACCAGTACACCTACAAGGTATACCAGTACATGTACAAGGTATACCAGTACATGTACAAGGTATACAAGTACATGTACAAGGTATACAAGTACATGTACAAGGTATACCAGTACATGTACAAGTTATACAAATACATGTACAAGTTATACAAAGTACATGTACAAGGTATACCAGTACATGTACAATGTATACAAGTACCTGTACAAGGTGTACAAGTGCATGTTCAAAGGTATGCAAGTACATGTACATGGTGTACAAGTACATGTACAAGGTATACAAGTAAATGAACAAGGTATACAAGTA